AATGCCCGCTCGTCCGACTGGCTGCGCGAGTGCTTGACTTGCACTTGAGCCACTCCAAAAACTAATCAGCTTCGGCAAAGCGATGTCTTGTAAGTTTCAGCGCTGATTGTGCTGCTTATACTCTGCATGCTGTAGAGCATCCTGACTAAGTTATGGACGAGGTAAAGCTATGATTCGTTATAGGTTACAAATGTTTTTCTTTAATAGTCGTCAAAAGACAACACCGGCAAAAGATTGTTCTCAAGGTGCTTAAGTCTGAACATACATAAATATATGTATTAGAATACAGATAAGAATTATTTTTACACCTCTCCATTTCAATATATAGTTCAACAGCCATTTCATGAAGAGTATTTTGTTTCGCTACCCCATCTCCCCAGACAGTTCTTATCTTAATACTTTTTCCTCCTCTGGCTTACCAGCCAAGACTTGGGCGCATAATTAAGTCAGTTGCAGTCAAGTTGAGCGCGTTTAATGAGCATGGCCTGAGACCGGGCATCGTTTGTTTTGCGCCACAAAGTTTTGTGGGGTTAAAATGGCGAAATTTTCGGTCAGCTTTTTGGGGGGTCGGACCCGCGTTACTTATCTTGCTCATTTCCTTTCAGTGCACTTTTGTATTGCATTAACATGGTCATTATCCTGGGCTATCCTTTCGCCACTTGCACCGCTGCCGTCCTTTTTATTATAAATTATGGCCGAGCTGGGCTCTCAAGTGTTTTCCTTCCGCTGCGCTCAATTGCATAGTTATTAGGTATTGTTTTAGCTTCCCTTGTTGTTCGTATCCGAATTACACCTCTGCACTGCACTGCACTCGCCTCCAGCTGGCTAATGTGTAAAAAGTTCGGACACGCTTCGCTGGTTGCTACTTGCTGCCTGCCCGTTGGCGTATATCCTAGCAGGTCCTTGCTGCCCAGCGCTCGCCTTTTCGCATTCAATTTTCATTATATACACTCGACTACACAAAATTATCCCTCAGTCCGTGTGTAGGTGAGAAATTTGCAAATAAATGTTGCTTATTAGTCTGGCGTTTTCTTGTCGTTTCCTAACGCACAGCCGAAACAAGTTTTTAGCTTGTTTTTCGATTGTCTGTCACATAAAATTTTACAATTCATTTAACATTTAAGGCATTTGCATCTAATTGCCTTTCATTTCCATTTGACCGATCGAAGAGTAATTATCCCTCTCTGCATGCATAAATAATAAATGATCGAATTGTGAATTTGAAGTGATTCGTCTTATTGTATTATTTTAATCAACGTCTTAGGGTTATGCCCTGTAACTTTGTTTATAAATAAAACGGATTATGTATTTCTCCACTCTTTACTCCTACCAATCATACCACCTTTATTCTGATAAATATTCTATACAACATTTTCAACATAGAATTCGCTTGTATATGCGTTGCCTTTCATTCATTGGCGTCTTCATTGATTTAGCTTTCACAACAGGGTACATTCCAGTCAAACATGCTCGCTCTCCCACTTCTTTTGCTGCTCCAAATGCTGCGTTCATTTTGTTGTCGTTAATGTAATTACATCAAAGAGCATTCGCGTCCACAGAAAAGAAAACCCAGCAGCAACAAAGGCCGGCAGTCAGCCAAGGGACGAGAGAATCCCCGAGCAGAAGAAAAGCTGCGAACTGCAGCTGAGCTGCGAGTTAAATCCTTTCAATTGAATGACATTTGGCTTGCACTTTGGCTGGCGCCGGGCGCCAATGAATTGGGAATGCGCGTGTTGTGATATAGTTTAGACACGGCTGCGCGACTGTTTCACAGCTCGAGTGCAGCGCTGCCCGGGTGGCATGCCGTGAGTCAAGTTCAATTAAACAAGTGACCGGCAGAGACGCAGCTTAGCCGTGGGACCAAAAACCAAAATCCTATTTAAGCTGGCGCTGCTCGTTGGTAGTTTGTTTTTTGTTTGTTTGCCTCCTATGCTGGTGCTAAATGTCAGCGATGCAATTAAATTGGGAATAGGCAACGGCCATGATGGGGACGTGGACAGCCGGAGTCAGGGGACAGGGATTAGGGGCCAGCGGGCGAAAGGCGGATGACGAAAAGGATGCGACCGATGGGGACCAGGGCTTACTGCTCGGGCGTGTTATAAAATTATGAAGAAAAATTGGATTTAAAAACAGCTCCAGAGCTGGCGAGAAATGAGGCTAGCGCCATTAGCGTCACATCGGACGTCGTTTACTGGATCCTGCTCCTGCTGGTGCTGCTGTTGCTGTTGCTGCATTTGATGAGTTGGCGGAGAAGAGAAAATGAGCGAGCAGAAGAAAATTGTAATTAAACTGCGTTTGTTGTCATTGCATTTATAAATAATAATAATTATTATTGCATAATAGGGCAGCTGCTGGGCGCAAGAAAAGCGCACGCACAAAGGAAATGCATTAAAAGGCGAGCAGAGTGCCGCGGCTATGAATGCGGGTCTGGCAAAGGAGCCAACCGAGTTGTTTTCATTTAACTACTACAAAACTTTAACGGCAAACTTCATAAAATGACGTGCGAAAAACAGCGCACTCTGAAATGAAAGATGAAAAACGTAAGAAAAATGCCATTGAAATCAAAGCAACTCCCTCCCCGCCCCTCTCCGGCAGCAGTGTGTCCTGCGCGTGCTAAAAAGGTTTTCTGTTTCTTATTTGTTATTCTTGGTCTGGGGCGAAAAACACTTTAATTAAAGTGAAATGCAAACATTTCAATTAAGCGCCGGAGCTAAGCTGATTTCAATCTGACTAAAAGGGATAACTTCCGCCAGACGCGTTGCCTTTTGACTGGCGCTCCAAGGGTTCTTCCCATTTAGCTTGCTTGGTGCGTGCTCGAGCAAAGGTTCAAGTGTCAGCTGAGCGACAGTTACAAGTGGAGACGGGGAGGGGGCCTGGCCAAGTCAATGCTGACGATGGCCAAAAGCGATTGACATTAATTTTGCATTAGCCCTCTTAGCCAGACCCCGACTCGACTTGCGCCCTCGCCACGTTAGCCGCAAATTTAATTATGCGCGCTCGCTCATAAAAAAGCTCAAGAAGCAAATGTGAAGAGGAAAAAAAATGCTTGGGTCAAAGCGGCAAGTGCTTCGAGCCCGAACAGACGCCGGCCCATTTTGTATTCCAATTAACCAAAATTACTCGAGCCAGCTGCCTTTCGACTAACTGTATAAATCACGTCGACTTAAGGTCCGCACTTGCCGGGGCCATCGATGATGCAGACGTCATACCTCAATAGTTGTAGAAGAAACTAGCTAATCGCCGTTGAGATGCTCTCTCTCTCTCTCTCTCTCTCTCTCTCTAGTATAATTTCAGCTTAGCTTTAATTGATTCCATCGAAGCACTCTAAGCGCATTATTCGACGAGCCGCAGCGTCAATAATGATTAGTGTGCTTTGTTGTGTATATGTGTGTGTGTTGGTGTGATACAGGAATCGCTTTTTGCGTTTGTTATTTCACTTCAATTTGTATTACATGAGCTGGCATTGTTATCGCCTTTATGTCACTCTTTAATGGGCTTTATCGATAATGTCTTGCTCATTGTAAACGTGCTCTAATCTTAATGGCCCCAACTAAATGAGCCAAGTAACACACACACATACATGGAATATATGCGAGTGTGAAAAGCAAGACAAGAAAAGCTCATCTTGATTGCAAGCTAGGGAAGCGGAAGAGTTCAGCAGCGCCTATAAAGATTATTTTAAATGTGATGAATTTCTATGTAAATTGCCATTAATAAATGTGAAATGTAGATGAAAAAATCAACCAACAGTAGACAGATTAGTTTTAGTGAGAAAGACTAAGGCCTGAGCCAAGTGTTTCAATTTTCTTCATTTAGCTTAGTTTACCTCTATAATATACCTATATATTATATATTTTGTTGTTGGCAAGGTAAATGCAATTTGAGCGATATTTGTGATTACTTGAAAATCAATTGGGTTTCTTCAACCTAATCTTCTTTGTTATACTCTGAACCCATTGAAAATGGGAAATCAGGGTATAATGTTTTTGTTAAAAGTATGTA